TTGGCCAGATCTGTCTATCTTTCCCTCGAGTCTCACTGGCCTGGGAAATTGTCTTGAATTACTTTGTTGTGAGTTTTTCCATTGCCTTTCTTTTCTCCATCTATGGCTCCTCTAACTTGGATGTTGAAACTTCTGGGCTGATCTTACGATATTTTATTTTTTTCTTCTATGTTCCATCTTGTAATTAATTTATTTATTTGTCTTTCAAATATTTTAGTGAGCTTTTACTTTCTGCTGGCAGATTTTCTTCCCAAGTCATTCTTTTTCTGGGTGTTCCTTTTACATGGTGCCCTGTTCCTGGTTCACTGGAGCAATGCCTTCATGTCTCTCCAGGGATGTCAGTGGCAGTTTCCCTTTTCTCTGCTGGCATCATTTCTGTTCCTTCCGGCTGTGCTTTGGGTTCAGCCTCCAAGGCTGGAGGCTCCCTTAGGAGCCATTCCATCCGGGCGGTCTGCTCATGATTAAGACCAGGGGACTGGAAGCTCAGAGGGCATCAGCAGCGCTTGATACATCTGGCCCGTAGTGGGGGTGCTCTGGATGAACTATGGGCTGGGAACACTGGTAGCTGTATGTGCTGAGGGGCAGAACACCCTCTAGTTCCCCTCTTTGGGCCAACCTGTAGGAGCTAAAGGGGAAAGAGGGCCAGGGGAGGAGCCCCATGTGCATCCCTCATAATGCAAACGAGAACTGGATTACATTCTGGGGACAGATGTTATGCTCTCAGTAGAACTTGGTGTCCCTTAAATGTCACAAGTATCTGCCACAGTGAGGTCAGCCCTGTCCCCGAAGACTCCCAAGTGCCCTGTTTTTCATCACATGCCCTGGTGGGGTTGTTTTCATCTGGGGTGCTGGGCACTTGGCCAGATCTGTCTATCTTTCCCTCGAGTCTCACTGGCCTGGGAAATTGTCTTGAATTACTTTGTTGTGAGTTTTTCCATTGCCTTTCTTTTCTCCATCTATGGCTCCTCTAACTTGGATGTTGAAACTTCTGGGCTGATCTTACGATATTTTATTTTTTTCTTCTATGTTCCATCTTGTAATTAATTTATTTATTTGTCTTTCAAATATTTTAGTGAGCTTTTACTTTCTGCTGGCAGATTTTCTTCCCAAGTCATTCTTTTTCTGGGTGTTCCTTTTACATGGTGCCCTGTTCCTGGTTCACTGGAGCAATGCCTTCATGTCTCTCCAGGGATGTCAGTGGCAGTTTCCCTTTTCTCTGCTGGCATCATTTCTGTTCCTTCCGGCTGTGCTTTGGGTTCAGCCTCCAAGGCTGGAGGCTCCCTTAGGAGCCATTCCATCCGGGCGGTCTGCTCATGATTAAGACCAGGGGACTGGAAGCTCAGAGGGCATCAGCAGCGCTTGATACATCTGGCCCGTAGTGGGGGTGCTCTGGATGAACTATGGGCTGGGAACACTGGTAGCTGTATGTGCTGAGGGGCAGAACACCCTCTAGTTCCCCTCTTTGGGCCAACCTGTAGGAGCTAAAGGGGAAAGAGGGCCAGGGGAGGAGCCCCATGTGCATCCCTCATAATGCAAACGAGAACTGGATTACATTCTGGGGACAGATGTTATGCTCTCAGTAGAACTTGGTGTCCCTTAAATGTCACAAGTATCTGCCACAGTGAGGTCAGCCCTGTCCCCGAAGGCCTGTAATTGAGAGGCTATCAGGCCTTGGAATTTCTTTTCCAACAGAATTTGCCCACTTGCGTGTCTGCATCTCTGCCCGTGGTCCCCGTTACATGGGGGGCTTGACTCTGCAGCAGAGTCAGACTGTACCTGCTTCTCCCACTGCTGTATCCACTCATCTGTTACCATTAATACACTTTCTCCTTGTCTTCCAAAATGGTAGAACTATTTTACCTCCACCTATACATTTCACCTTGTGGGTTGGTTACTTATTTTTTTAACAAAATACATTGGGAGATTACTTGGGGATATGGTAGAGATAATATTCTAACTTTATACAAACAAAACTTGAGTTCCTCAAACACCATTTTTGAAACATTCACCTTTCCCTGCACTACAGCGTGATGCAGCCATTAGCAAGTTAGGTTCTTAGGTCACTGAAGTCACTTTTAAGATCATCTATACCCTCTCACTGACCTCTAAGTCAACTCTCATACCAGTACTCTCCACATACACTCACATAAATGCACACATGCTCATGCACACTTGCAGTGCAACTGCTCACAGTCATCTACATGCAAACATGTACACCTGTCCATATACTCACACACATGCACATCACACTACATACATGCTCACATGTTTCTGCTCACATATACATGTGCATGTGCTCACACGCTCACATACATGCATGTGTGTGCACCTGCTCATGCACACACTTCCTGCCTGGGTGCTTCCTGGTCTGGCTGTCCCTGTATTAAGGAAGGGGCTGCAGGTGGAGACCAGGAGGTGCAGTGACCCTGGTCTCTGAAAGTGAGGAGGCCTCTTTCAGGAACATAAGTTGCAGTGTTTAGGAAGCCCAGTGCGATTAGTTGTTCTCACGTTAGCAGCTAATTTGGAGCAACAGTTTGTGAAAATTCTCCCAGTATTTTGGAAATTAAAAGCATCGGAAATGGTATGGTATATTTGGGCAGACACCGCAACCCCAAATTCGGCCCTCTGTCAGTGTCGTGACAAGGCAGCTTTGCCAAACAAGCAAGGTACACACGTGACGCACCCAAGGCAAAGGTCAAGGCGGATCCTCTGATTGGCGTGTCTGAGGACTCGTGTCACTGACATAGAAACGCCTTGTCCCTCAGGCACAACTAGATGTGGTGTCTCCTGTGTTTTCCTTTGGCTCAGGGAAGAGAAGAGAAAAGATGAAGGATGGGGAAATTTCATTATTTCCGGCAGCCCAGGTGTCAAAAATTGCGTATGGCTGAGCTGTAGAGAAACTTCTGTAGTTATATTGCCAGAAAGGGCTTTTGATTCTCAGCCTTCCTAAAGACAGAGAAAGTTAAGTTAAGTGTGCAAGTTGAGGTAATGGTTCAGGATGAACTGGACAGAGGACTCTGGTCATGAAGCTGTGACTCCCAGGGAGGCCAGCTGGGCCTCTGCACACCCGACCGCCCTGCTCTCTGCAGAGTCATCCACACGGAGGGTGTGGCCCCAGCTCCCAGGTGTACTTACCAGCTGAGTCCCGTCCCCAATTTCCAGAGCACAGGATCTGATAACCCTGCTCACACTGGAAGCTCATGGCTCATCCGACCAGCTGTGGCCCAGTGGAGGGAGAGGCTGCATCTCATCAGCCAGGACACCGTTCCTGGGCCTGGGCTGGGAAGTTCCTGGACCGTGGCTTCAGAGGCCCAGGAAATTCTCCTGTAGACAGCCAGCACATGCAGGGAGAAACACATGGTGCTTAAGTCCTGAGGAAAAAACTAAGAGTTGCTCTTCTTAAAAATATTTCTTTCCCCCAGAAAAGCAGTATGACAAGTAGGAGGAACAATTCATCTAAAAATAGTCCCAACATGAATCTTTATCCAAAATGTTAAAGAAACCATTTCAAAAATGTGTTCTCCATTTGTAAAATGTATTTTCCATTTTTGCTTTTAGGTGCAGCCTGTACTGAAGGACTGGAGACCAGATACTTCCAGAAGGACGACGCATGTGGTGACGAGACCTCGCGGCTGGCTGAACCCAGTTTTCCAGCTGGGCCTCAAGCCCCATGAGCAGCGCTGCACCCTGGCAGCTAGGCCCACACAGCCTGGACTTCAGAAAGCACAGGGCAGCTTTCACAGGGTCAGCAACCTGAACACAAGCAGAAATGGACAGAGGACAGACGTGTTACTGGGGGGCTGGCCTCAGAGCCGCCGTGCAATCGCAAACCCAGCTTGTGCTGGCCGGCAGCCTCGAGCGGACAGCTGGAGGCCTGAGGCTAATCAGCAGTGAGCTGGAAACACACACAGGAGGCAGTGTGAGGGACGTAACTCCCATTCCCGTTGCTGCATGACCCAGCACATTCCCAGGCCCTGGGGTCACACTGTGACCAGCCTGGCAACCCAGCTGCCCCATAGCTGCCCACCTTGTGCTGGCGAAGTTCTAGGTCCTGTGGGAGCAACAGCCACAGGCTGCACTGAAGCACCTGCCCTCGCAGGGTCTGCAACCCGAGCAGGTGTGTTCTGAGGGCAGGAGGCTGGGGAAGGAGGGAGATGCTTGGCGTTGTGAGGCAGGGTCAGCATTCCCTCCCATGGTCTGGGCGGGCTCTTTGCCTCCTGAGCCCAGAGTCTGACAGAAGGGAGCTGCTGACTCCTGGGCCCAGCTCCTGCCACAAGCATGATGTGAGGGCGCCAAGCAGCCATGCAGATGGGCCCGAGGAAGCCAAGCGGCCCCTTGAGCCAGTGAACAGGTGCCCAGTCCCGGCCCTGAGTCACACTGAGCATCGCATTCTCTCCTGTGTCTCTTCCCACCTTGGGGGCCCAGGGGCTCGCTTCTCACTTGCTGTGGCATCTCCAGCACCTGGTCAAAGGCCAGAAGATGTTCAGGCATCTGTTGTGTGTAGTCAACAGGTTTTCTAGGCCAGCAGGTCTCAGACATCGTTAAAGTGATTCATCTAGCTGGGCATGATAGGGAAGGTCCGGCCGCTCTGCTGGGCCCTGCTTGAAGTCCTGGTCCAGGGAGCCTTCATCAAAATTAAGAGGCTGTTTCAAACTCTTAGATCTTGGAGTAGTTTGTTGTGCCACAACAGGGAACCTGCACGGGGACTTAAGCAGCCCATTAATATTTGTGTGCATTTTGATAGGAGGTGATGAGCTAAAAGTGCAAATTTAGTTTTCATTAAATTCAGGTATCCCAACCTGAGACCAGACGTGCACTCACCTGCCTGTGGGGCTGCTCTCTGACATGTTGCGTCTCCTTTCTCAGGCTCTGCTGAAATCGCTCCGGCAGAGGAAGCTGTGCCTGCTGGATCCATGCAGGCTGGCCACCTCCCCACTCCTCCTCCCACTGCTGACACCATTTAAGCACCAGTCACAGGAACTGCAGTGACCTTTCTGTGCCTCTCCTCCCATCTGGCTGACGCCAGGCTGCAATCATTGCTCATCCATCTTGGCACCAGGGCAGAGCAGAAGGCCTGCAAAGCCCAGATGTCCGAATGTTTATGGAGTTGAACGACGGCGCACCGGGACAGCAGGCCCAGCGTTCTGTATGTTTTTGAACAGACAAAACGGAAAAGGTGGGGAAATGGGCTACATTGCCAGTTTTTTTATTTTTTAAAGATCAATAGAAAGAACTGTTGCAAAACCACCTTTAAAAAGCGGCCTGTGCTGTTAACGTTGCATTATCTAACAGGACCCACTTGAGGCCCAGCTGTCAGGAAAGCTCTTACCTGAGAACAAAGGGGCAGTTATTTAAACGCTGAACCTGGCTCAGAGCCTGCCACTCCACTGTCTGAGAGGCAGGGCTTCCGAAGGACAGTCCGGGTGACGTCCTGGCAAAGGAGCAAAACATTGGGGTGTTTCTGGTTGAAAATGCCCACAGGGACCTGCTCACAGGAAATCACACCAGGTGAGGGCAGTCAGGGAGAGTCAGTGGAGGTTCCAGGACAGGGTGCAGCCTGGCGTCTAGCGGCAGTGAGCCGGAGGCCGAGCGGAGCTTCTGAGGTCACAGTCTGGAAGCAAAGTGCACCCTGAGGTCAGCGTCGTGGAGCCCACCTGTGGATGGGTGGGTGTGTCCAGGTAGATGAGCAGTGCCTGTCTACACCTGTCGGTAAGGTATGAGCCCATGACAGTCTGGGCTGCCTGTGGGATGTGGCCATTCTGTCCTTGTCCTCAGGGTGAATGTGTTTCCCATCCAGTCTGGTTGGGCTCTGGTTGCCAGTGGCCGACAGAGGAGACGCCTCACCTGAGCCATGTTGACTGGGTCCTGGGCTGCACAGGACAGCCCCTCCCCTGGCTTCTTCTGTGTCCCTGAGCAACATGGAGATTCTGTTCTGCCGACTTGCGGCCCTGATCCAGCACACACAGGGCCCAGGCACTTGGCACACGGAACGCTGACCACTGAGCTCCCCGAGCAGAGGGTGGTCTCGGCACCAGCGCAGGCCCCGGGCTCCTCCTGTGGCGCACAACACGGGAGGCCTTCGCGAGACATCAGCAAAGATGTAAGAAACCCTGAAGGGCAACAGGGTGAGGTTCTGGGGCAGAAGCTCACGTTGCTAGGCCCGAAAGCCCTCACTTCAAGAACCTTCACCACTTTGCAGGATCATGTCACACATGACAGGAAGAAACCCAGCCCCAGAGGTGTTGGTCAAGTATTCAAGGCCAGAGGCTGACAGAAGAGCAGGCCCACTCGGCCGGCCTGGACTGTGAACTGATGGTAGATAAACGGGTTTTCACCCCGTGGCAGCTCGTGGGGAATTTAGTTAAATTCTCCTGTCAAGGTGATTATTGGTTGCGAAATTATATTAATACAGTTTCTGATATTGAATACCTTTTGCCCCTGAAATAAACCAGCTTTGTCTTAATGAATTAATGTTTCAAGATACATTGGATTATTTATTAATAAGTATCTTATTTCAGATTTTTGTCTTTATAGTTTCAGAGTTTGATATTGTCAGATTGGGTAACTGGGTAACACTCACTTTATGAAATGGGATTGTTGTATTTTTGAAATTTTCTCCATGCTAGGAGTTCTCAAATAGTATGAATCTTCACCATATCTTTAAAGTGTAACAGAATATACCCACAAAGCCATCTGAGTCCACTGTCATTTTTGTGGGTAGTTTTATTATTACTCTGTGTTTGCTATTGTTATTATTTGTCAACTCTTTCAAATTCCTCAAGGTTACTGGTTTATTAATAGGGAACTTTGACATTCAATGCCAATAATTCAGATATTTATCTAGTTTTATCATCATTTAAAAGAGGAGGGCAAAACTGGTGGCTCCCCGTCAAGGCCAGGAATCCAGAACCTCTATACACATTACTAAGCAGACAAATCGGTACGCTGCTCTCCTGTGCGCTGGGGCGGGAACAGCCGAAAGGTATGCATGTGTGCTGCCCCCACGGATTCTGCTGGGCAGTTTCCTAGAGTTGTTCCCCACTTCAGAGCCTCCATGTGCAGTCATACCACCGATGATGCAATTTATCTCTTCAAAGATGGTGATTTGCTTTCCTAGTCACCGTGGCTTCCTACTGTCCAGTTACGCAATTCCACCATCAGAATATTTTTTCCTACTTTCTGATCACGTTACTCCTTTATCACCTAGCATTTATTGTTGCAGAGAAGCCAGCCAGATTTTTGTAATCTGTTTTTAATTAGTTTGTTTTCTATCAGAATGTTGAAACATTTCTTCTTTCAAAAATTTTTGCTGGAATTTTTTTTTCTGTGTTCTATTAATTTGGAGACGTTTCCTCTGTCCAAGAACACACGCACACACACGAGCACTCCTCTGACACATGCCCCACATCAGGCTCAAGTCCGCCTCCACCCCCTCCCCACACCCACCCAGATTCACCCTTCTGCTCCATCAGGAAGGGTGCTAACCGTGTGCTCCTCAGCGCCATCTGACTCCACAGCATCAGTCATGCTGCACTGCCCCATTTGTACTATAAATTAGGCCAATATTAGTTTCATTCCAAACTTTCCTTTTGTTATTTAGCTCCATTTACATCTCAGTATGTTTCTTTGGTTTTAGCTGATGTATCTTCTTACATTTTATTAATTTGAAATCATTTCTTAAAATAATTTTCTACATTTTGAAGGGCATCTAAATCAACTCTCCTTCTGTGCCTTTTTACTTTTATCTGTAAAAATATCTTATATTTTTATTTAGACTCTTTTGTAAAAGGCTCCAAATGCGATTTTTCCCCTAGGTGTACCTTCATAAGCAAGATAATTTTTACACAATTCATATCACAGAAAGAGTAAGTGAATCTCTCTTGGCCTCTCTGTCCATAGAAATAATGGTTAACATATTTTTCAGAAAAACAGAAGAGGAAGTAAGGTATACAGCTAATGTCTTTATAATTGTTCATGGTTTGTTGTAATTCTCAGCTTACTCTGTACACTGAAACAACATTACCCAGGTTGCATCTTCGACCAGTCACACCTATAACCTGACCTCTCAGAATGTGGTGGGTCAGCACCAGCTTCCCTGTAATGTGTCCCATCTTTACTTCCTAATATCTGCAACAGTGCATTTTTTGAAGAAAATTACAGAAGAAAGAAAAGAAGAGAAAGTCCTCTGCAGTTCAGAATCGTATCTCACAAGCAGTTTCAAATTAAGTTATTATATAACAAATTAGCCTAAAACTCAGACACTTAAAATGGCAGATGTTCATTATCTCAGTTTCTGTGAGTCAGGAATTCTGTGATGTCCACTCCCAATAAGACAGAATATCCATCTGACTCGGTGAGCCATCGACAAGCATGGCAGATGGCGCCCTAGAATTCACAAGCTCATCCATGCCTGTCGTGTCCTGAGCTGCCCCCCAGCAGGTGTTCAGGGGCTGCCCCAGCGGTCACTCACCTGGCGGTAACAGTAG